GAGGTGTGAGGCTCTGGCAGGGTTCTAGAGCCCTCCCACCTCCTTTCCAAAGTGGGGAAAGTGCTAACTAGACTTTGGGAAGGAGGTGGGAGGACTCTAGAACCCTGCCAGAGTCTTCATGCTGCCTTCCCAAAGTTCAGTGCCTCACTTACCTAGCTTTGGAAAGCCAGTGCGAGGGCTTGGGGGTGTCAAAGGTTGCCAAGGGCCACAGAAAAAGGCATTGAGGGCCACACGCAGCCCTCAGGCTACACGTTGGACCTCGCTGATCTAGAGTCTCAGGATGGAACAAATAAAACTGTTGAGCATAAAGGAAGTCTGAGATTTCAAAAACGATTTTGGACACTGAGATGACTGTGATTGCGTCATGAAACAGAAATAAGAAAATAAGTGCTGCAATGTTCTTCTTAAAAGGGGGGGGAGTGGGATGTAATGTAGGTGGAAACCAACGTGTTCCATTAAGTGGGTGCAGGGAGGGGAGCAGTTCTACCTAAGAATTTCAACCTGGGAAGGCAGCTGTTGTGAGATCCATTACATTAAGAGTTGAACAGCGTTAAGCTTATTCCACACTTTAGTCTCCTGTGATATAATTCTACAAAGTTTGCAACAGCAAATATTACAACACCACCACTAACAACAACAACCCTTTTGATGAATGGGCACAGGAATCTCACAGTACACAGCAGGAGCTCCAGGAAAGATCCAAGGTGGATTGGGAGAAAGGCTTCCCCATCAATGAGGAAGCCCTTTGCACAGTCCGCACGCATCACTTTCTCTAGTCGTATCAGATGGGAAGGGGGAGAAGCACAGAAGTCCACCCTTCCCTTTTTCCTGCACACCTCACCCCATGCTTTCCCTCTTTTCGACTGACTGTATAGGGCAGGAGTCAGCAACCCATGGCTCTCCAGATGCTGTTAGTTTGCAACTGCTGGCAGCCCCAGCCAGCGTGGCAATGATCAGGGGTGATGGAAGTTGCAGCGCAGCTGCAACCTGAGGACTGCAGGTTCCTCACCCTTGCAGAGAAGGTTTTCTGAGCATGTGGCCTAAGTTCTGGCAGCATTGTCTACTGCCTGAATTTTTGCAAACGATAGGGACGTGGTGCATAGCCGTGCTTCTTACATTAATTGTGATAGGAGGGCCAATCCACCCTTTTCATAGTGAGAAAGATCCATTTCCTATGGGAGTGTGATGGCTGTTTCTATGGAGCATTCATTCCTGCAACCCACACCTGCAGCCAAGCGTATGTTCACATTAGGAAGGTCACAGCAAGATCACCTTCCCCAGCTGCATATAAAGTCACATTTGCATGGTGTTGTTCACATCAAATAATTCTGGGTAATGCAGAAGCTCCTGTGGTCGTGCAGTGATTTACTCATGCCATTAAAAATGATTAGCTTGCCCTAATGGGCAAGATGTCTTCATCTGATGCTCAAGACCTTTTTGTTTTCCTTACCCCTGCAACACCCGTCTCCAGAACTCCTATTCATAAAGCTATCATCTGCACATATGTGATGGCTGTCTCAAATGTTCACATTACCGCTGATTCTACATCCAGCGAAGAGAAATACACATCAGTTCCCCCCCCCCAAAAAATTATAAAGGATCAATATGGATTGTGGCTAATGGAAATATGAGTGAGGCTTTAAAAGTTTGCAGTGGGAGTGCCCTGGATGTGGAGTTGCCACTGAATGGCCTATTTGTCTAGGGAGGTTCTCGTCTTGTTCAGTAGCTCAAGAAAACAAACAAAATATCCACTGCAGTCTCCTTCAGTGTGTCAATGTGACATTGACATCTGCCACTAATTCTAATTTGTGTGACTCCCGTATGGATTAACAACATTTGTCCTTTATGTTTTTATTACCAATATGTCAACTTTTAGGAGACAGCATAGCTGTGTCTAAGACTCCAATCTTAAGAGTACTTATTTGGAGATTTAGCTCTATGGAGTACTGCCAAGTCAATATGTTTAGGAGCTGGACCAGCAAGAAGTACTAATTGCTGTGAAATGGGGCCTGTGCAAGAGAACTTATAAGTAGATTGCGTCCATTGTGAGGAAAAAAACCTCTTGTGCCTTTAGCATAAATACAGCTAGGAGCAATAGGGTGTTTGTATTGGTTTCCATTGGTCTACTGCATCCCCCAATGGTATGATTTGAAATTAACTAAACACTTCCTTATTTTATAAATATTGTATATGCATTTCATTACTATTTCATATAATTACATTTGTTTCCAATAAAAGTTCCAATAAAAGGTTTTTGTTTTGTTTTTTGTTTTTTATGCAAACCAGAAAATATTAAACAGCAACATGCAACAGACTTTTTCACGTTTCTTTCTGGAACAATTCAGCAGTAGCTTGGTACGCCAAACCGTAAGTCTTTAGCAAATGAAGAGTTGCCAGATATACAGAAGCTTCTATTCTTTTATCAGCAAATACCTCTGGGTTATCCCCAGTGTCGGTTTACAATAGAAAATTCCAGGCATTGCTCAACAGCAAACAAACCCAACCCTTGAACTTAGAGTCACTGTTCTTTTAACAGTTTGACAGCAGACAATCCATTGTTTTCCATTTGTTGCATACCTATCAGTTCTGATGATTTATCTCATTTGAGCGCCCAGCTGCCAACATTGTTTTGCGGCTAAAGATTATTAGATTAACCATCCAGTCACGTATCATGCAGAAAATAAATATAAAGAAAAAAATGCACCGTGATTTAATGCATGTTTGCTTAGAAAGACGTTCTACTTTGTTTAACTGGGCTTGCTTCCAGATATGTCTGCTTAGCTGTGCAGCCTTAGACTCGGCAGCTCATGTCTTTGTCATAAACCACAGTCCTTACTTGAGGCACATCCTTCTGGAGTTTTCATTGACAAATTGTATCGATCCTTTCCCCCTTCAACATAACCATTAATCTTGACCCTCTGAAAATGAACAGTCCATACCAATTCTCCTTACAAAACAATTATGGTGTTTGCTTTACTACCAAGACACAACAGCAAAAAACACAATGAATAGTTGTTCTCTGGTGTCAGATCCACGTTTTAGAAAAGTTAGACAGCCCAGAAAAATGGAGGGGGGGGGGAATCTGTTAAGAAATAATCCTGCCTCTGTAGAAGGTCTGAAATTGCCTAAAATAAGTCCGGTTGAGATTTGCTACATCTTTCTCTGGGATTCAGCCCAAAAAAATTCTCTCATTTTATGAATGCAATCAACATGTAGCAAACAGTTGTCATACCAAAGGCTAGGAAGAGTACTTATCATATGCACAGTTTGTAAAATGTCTATGAAATGCAAATACTATGAGAAATTACTCATTATTTACAGGAAAATGCACCCTTCTTTCCCCCTTAGGAACAGAAGGTTTTGACAGACCTTTCTTAAACTCACATGTAGGGATGTGGGGAGACATTTGATTCAGTTTGCATTTCATGGCAGACCTACCAAATCCAAACTTCCTGGAACAACAGGAAACCCAAAATACAACAACCCTTCAAAATATGCACTCTTCTGAATTTTGCCATGAAGTTCTTCAGCCAAGTAACCGTCACGAGCTGGCAGAACAATGGGGAGGAGGAAGAGGATCCTGGCGAGATGTGGGACACACCGGGACAAGCTGGGGAGGGGAAGGAGAGGTTGGTGTAGGAAGTACTCATCGGGTGATGGAGGATGATGAGGAGATGGGGGTCAGGGCACGTGAATCAGAGTGGCAGGACCATCACCAGAGGGGCCCCTGTCTCCATGAACATAGTGGGTTCTGAGGCATAGGGAGCAGTGGGTGGGGCATCCAGGAGGCAGAGGCAAGCAAGGGCCCATAGTCCAGCTCACTAGCTGACCAGATGGGACTTGCTAGCTCTGGGAAGAGGTGTGCGGTTCCTCCTTAGCTGTCCTGTTTCAGCTCTTTATATCTTGGGTATCTTTGACCAGCAGAGTGGCTCCAGCGCTGGAGGGTTCCACCAGCATAGCCTGGGAGTTCCTCCAAAATATCCATAGCAGGGCTTCTGCCAGATCCCACAGCCCCTCAGCCAACCGATCTTCAGTAGAAGATTGCACCCCAAAGCTTGAACTTATAATAGCAGGTAAAGGCAACTCATAAGTGTTGCCCAAACAACAAAAGTTTACTTCATGAAGGGCTTAAGATTCCATCAAGACTTTGAAAGTGATATGCTGAAATCCTGGGCTTAGCATTGTATAATACATCATAATGCTCTTTCATGCAGAGTTTTGATTTACTTAACCGAAAGCTCTGTGAGCTGGATTTCTGACTTTGCAAATATGGGCACAGATTTAGGCCTGCTGTATTAACTTACTTCTAAATATATGCAATGGAAGCCTAATAATATTTGTTATTTCATTTGGGGCTAGGAAGGAGTCAAATTCCATTAGGGCTGCATGTCAGCTACTTATCAGGCCACAGAAGCTTCTCTGTGGATAGTTTTGTCAGATTCGGATAAGAACGGGACTCCAGTGCTTTTAATAGCTGCATAGAAATAACACTGGTTCTCTTGGGTTGTACGACACATGCTATTTTACTTGGAACTGATTTAAATGGGACCGATGTTCACATTTAGAATTGGGGGTTAGGTTTCACTGTGCATTGAAGTATCACTGATTTCAAAAGGGTGAAGGGCAAAGGTAAAAGTGATGTTAAATGTGCCTTTCTGGTGGGCTGAAAATGATCAGGATCGCAGGAGGGGTGGAGGGGTAACTTAACCCTTTCTTTCATACGGCAGTTCCGAAGGACATCTCTCCTCTGAAGTTTCTATTTGCATTGGCAACAATGAGGGATTCCCCTCCCTGACCAATAAGTACCAACATCAGAATGGATTTTCCTCAGCAGTGGAGGAAAAGTTAAACCCCTCACTAAGTCTGATTCTTACCAGCTAAGGCAAAGATGCATTGAATGTCAGGTATCATTTGGTGCTTAGGAATGCCTCATAGAATTGTAGAGTTTGAAGGGACCACAAGGGCCATCTAGTCCATCCCCCTGCAATGCAGGAATCTTTTGGCCAACATGTGACTTGAACCCATGACCATGAAACTGAGACTCTCATGCTCTACTGACTGAGCCATCTCAGTCCATGTTTCAGACTTGTATGCCTAGAAGTCTGTGATTTAAGAAATCCCCTGCTCTGTACAGTGGAAATGGAGAATATGGGGAACAGAATGAAAAAAGGGGAAGAGGTGAAAATGTGGGTTGTCACATAACAAGGCAGGACAAAGAACAGAAGTGGAACATTTCTGGACTTGCCGGGTTAGACAACGCTGGGGCTGTTAATGGGATAGAATTGTCAGCACTGGGAGCATTCTATACCTTGATCGCTCACAAGATAAGTATTTGCATTTTCCTCTTAGTAAAGTGATAGCTGAGAACTCTCTTTTGTGAAGTATCTGGCCACTCAAGGCTACTCATCTCCAATTAACATTTTTAAATTAATGATTCACAGGCAGACCAATAACACCTTTTCCGGCATATACTATATAACTAAGGTATGAGCAGCCAAAGGTAAGATATAGCAAATGAATAGTACCCTCCCATGTATTAAGATCAGCGGAGGGGGCCCTCTTGGTAGTTTTACCTCCTTCAGAACTTCAGGGCTGGGGTGGCCCAGAAGAGGATAACCTCTATGGCAGCCCCTAAGTTGTGGGATTCCCTCCACTCAGAACTGTTTCTGGCTCCTTCACTAGGCAACCTTTGGTGAATACTGAAGTTGCAGCCTCACTTCTCTGGCCCTTGATGCCTGAGATGTGTGTTTTCAGGGCCCACACCATCCCCGAGACCATACTCCATTTTAAATGTTTTTAATTCTGAATTAACTGGGACCTGCTGCTGGAGGACAGGCAACAGCTTGACTGGTCACATTGGCAGGGATGTGCTGGAAGCTACAACTAGGAAGACCTTAGGTGAGCACTGTGAGGCACTTTTAATGAAGAAAGCTGGTTTCCAAGGCTTGCCCATCAGGGCTGTGGGACCCATGGGTAGGGGATAGAGAATTGTTGGGGGGCAGCCATCAGAAGCTGTGGGGCCTGTGAATGTGCATGACTCCAGAAAGGTTTCCTCAGCATCCAAGTTGTTTAATTTATAACAAGTAGATATAGTTGCCTGTGACTCCAACAATAGTTAGCACATAACCCCCTACCAACATTTGACAGATGAAAATAGGGAAATGCAGACTCTCCTGCCTCCTTCCCAGAGCCTGCTCAGCCTTTGCTCAGCATTGGGAAGGAGACAGGAAGACTCCAAGATCCCACCAGAAGCCTCTCATCTCCTTCCCAAAGCCCTGTAAGCCCGTGCCTGGCTTTGGGAAGGATGCACAATGCTATGACAGGGTCTGAGAAGCCTCTTGCCTCCTTCCCAAAGTCCTGGAAAAGCTTGCTAGCTTTGGGAAGGAGGCAAGAGGACTCAAGGATCGTCCCTGCAACCCTGGTGGCCTGGGCCTTGCTTCATTTCTGGGACATTTCTGAATCGAATCAGAAACTGGGATGGCTTCTGCATTTCCAGGAATGCCACAGTTAAATAGTGGCAGTCGGAAGGTTTGTTAGCCTCCTGCATGGACCATGAACATTGCAGATCTTGCAATGAAGTTTATTAAATATGACCCTAAGCATTCACTTGTGTCTTCATTCTAGGATTTGGCATAAAAGTTTTTCTGTTATTCTTTTTTTACTTGAAGCCCACTTATATATGAAGAGAGGAAGCATCCCTTCTTTTCCTTAAAGAGGATAATATAAAGTTTCTCATAAAAGCTCTCACGATTCCAAGAGTTGAAAGTTTGGCTTCGTTAATACGGGCTCAGAGCACTTCAGATAATAAGGCTGATGCATTAGAAACCTGACTGCACCTCGCACCAGCCACCTAAGTGCAGCTGCCAAGCCGTATGTTCCATATGGTTCTGGCATTTTAATTACAGTTATTTAAATATGCAAAATAATCTATGCTATGTGAATGGAGTGTTCTAGTGGAAAGGAAGTTGGTTTTAAAAGATTATTTGCAATGAATGTGAGTGATAAGTGTCTGTTGAAACCATGGGTAATTAGTTCTGTGTTCTTATAAATTGTCAGATGATCCTACATCATCATCCTATCTAACAGTGTTAGAGAATAATAAGGGGGGGGAAATGTTTTCAAAATCTGTCAAATCTTATTAAAGGAGCATTACCAAGAAAAACCTCATGAAAAGCAGAATAACAACACACAAAATGGAACTTTAGATGAAATATGGCTTTTTTTTTTAACCAGGAAAGGGATAGCTTTTGTTTATTTTGTTTAACGAAATTTGTATGCTGCTTGTTTGCAATAAAATCTCTAAGTGGTTTAAAAGAAATATTAAAATCACCACTAAAACAATGAAAGATAGATAATTAAAATTAACAGCAAAAAAATTTGAACATATCAACGTCTCTGTGTCTAGATAGGCTTGCATGAACAAAAAATGCTTTAAACAGGTGCTGAAAGGTGTGCCGTGAAGACTGACGTTAGTAGGCCTGGTGTCTGTAAGCTGCAGAAGAAAAAAACAGTGTTAAGATAGCTATGCATTGGACTCCTTGAAAAAGCAAAAGGTGGGCTAAGTGGGAGGTAGTTGCTAGTGAATTAGAAGAGTCTCCGTGGGGTGGGGTGGGGTCCTGGGGTAGGGTCCTTAATGGTAGAGACACTTGTATTCAGATGTGCTAAATGAGTGCATGACACAATTCTGTTGTAATATTATCCCATGCTGATACTCTACAAGACAACAGGGGTAGTATTATAGTTCCCAAGGAAGAATGGGGACGCGAGTGGTGCTGTGGTCTAAACCACAGGGTGAGTTCCAATCACCAGTCAGGGTGAGTTCCCATTGCTCTGTCCCAGCTCCTGCCCACCTAGCAGTTCGAAAGCACAGCAGTGCAAGTAGATAAATAGGTAGCATTGTGGCGGGAAGGTAAACGGCGTTTCGGTGTGCTCTGGTTTCCGCCATGGTGTTCCGTTGTGCCAGAAGCGGTTTAGTCATGCGGGCCATATGACCCAGAAAGATGTTTGTGGACAAACGCTGGCTCCCTTGGCCTGAAGCAAGATGAGCACCACACCCCATAGTTGCCTTTGACTGGACTTAACTGTCCAGGAGTCCTTTATCTTTACCTTTTGGGGTGGTTCCCATGGAAGAATTTTCAGAAGTCCTTCCATGGCACCTTTATTTATTTATTTCATTGTTCCCTCATGGAACTCAAGGCCGGTTACATGGGGTTCCCAGGTTGTCTCCCATCTTGGCACTGCCCAGAAGGCAACCTGCTTAACTTCACCAAGGTGAATCAAGCAAGGGATCTCAAACCATGTACTGCCTTCTCTGAGCTTTGTGTTCCACACTTTCAGTTTAATACTAGAACAATGAATTAGCAGCATGGAAAGCAGACAATTTCAAATTTAATTAGGTATGGTTAGCTTGTGATTTGTCCTTTAAGGCTGTATGCCCTGGCAAGACCTTCTGTTCAGTCACTAGTTCTACGAGTTGGCTGTGACCCTGTAAGCAAAGAGAGTTGTACATGTTCAACAAATTGGCTTCAGTGTAAGTTACAAGGCTTACAAAGATTAAGAAATGCATTTCTAATAGACTTTCCTGGCTTTCCTTCCTGAATGGGGAAGTCCAAAGCAGCTTATAACAAACAATAAAAATGCATTTCAAATCATAATAACCTGCATTAATAGAAAACATTCCAAGGTTCAAATAACAAATCCACAATTAAATCAGAAAGTTTATTAAAACCATTCATGTGTCTTATCCAAAGACCTGAAGAACTAAAAAATGTTGGCATCTGTCTTCCTCGGGAGACAATGGAAGTGTGTGCCTTCTGGGTAAAATCCAAGCATTGGAGAGTTACACTGCTTGCAGTGGCTGTAGAGACCAATATGGGAGAGACATGTTGCATTGCAACTGGGGCAGATGAAGAAATAAAAAATGTATCTTGTCAAAAACTCAGTGATGCACTCCCTTTCAGGGTCCCAAAGTTGGAGAGTAGTAATACAGAAAAGGATCTGTTTCCCATGGCTTCATAACCTTACGTTGCACTTGTATGCAAATCTACCATTGTGTTTAGGGCTGTGATGTTAACCACACACCCAAAGAAATACACAACATCATCAACTGTTCATACTGCATGGGTAGCTTTATAAGGCAGAAGGAAGGCACTCCCAGAGATTCTAGGACCAGACCATATTAATAATTACCAGCACCTGAAGTTGGATCTAGAAGCAAACTAGAAGTCAGTAAAACTGGCTGGTCCTTGGTGGCTGAAAATACTCGGTTCTGCTTACACCTATCAGGAGATGAGCTTTTGCATCAGCTGCAGTTTTCAAACTATCTTCTAAGGCAGTAAATCAGTTTCCAGTAAAAGATACAGATACACTTTGTTTTATTGATCAAACTGCCACAGACTGGCCTGCCTGCCTGCCTGGATAACAAACTGTTTTGTCATGACACTTTTCTTGTAAAACCTACCCTTTGATCCTATCCTGGGCCCCAGGTGGTAGATTTGATTGAGGCTTTTAAACAACTGCCCATTTTGCTGCAGATCTGCTCTTTGACCTTTGAGTGTTGCTTGGAATTTCCCCCAAGGCACACTTTAGACCCTACTGGGTTTATATTACTGCTTTGTCTCTGAAGCTGAGTCTAGATTTCTGATGGCAGTGAAATTTGCCAGGTGCCTTTGGACTCTATTCTAGGATGTCCATCCTCTATTCCATAATATTAATCTTCCGACATTGGGCGTTCCAATTTATTTCAGAACTTCTAAAAATCATTCTTTAAACCTGAGACTACTAACTGGGAAATAAAACTTTAAACACCTCTGTGTGGTTTTAAATTGCCTCTTGTTTTAAGGTGCCAACTTTCATTTAAAGACATGTTATTTATTCTCCAGCAAGCCAGAACAACCCTCAAAAGAGATTTATTTATAGACTTTCTTCACATGTCGATTAGTTAAGGCCATTTACATGGCAGTGACGAAGGAGGACACAGATTTTGCAAAAACTGGCACATGCTAAGGTATAGGTATAGACACAACTTTAGAAATAATTGCAATAATTTAAAACACAATGCATCTCACCATAGTGA